ATATTTCTACTGTCCCGGGTGATGCTTTGCTGGTTTACTTTGTTCTTCCACTTTCTCCTCCTCCGCCTTCTCATTTCATTCTGCCGCCTGCCAGATCAGTGTCTAGCCGGACTGAGTCAGTGTGCTGGGGAGAATAACTTGCGAGCCGAAATATCTGTGGTTGAGGAACAGAATGAAAACAGTGTGGTGGAGAACCTGAATGAGCTCACACGCCGGGCCCTGGAGCGCTCTGGACTCCCCTGGCGTAGCCATTTGCCCCTGTGCTTCACCCTCCTCGAATCAAACGCCTTCTTTCGAGTTAGCTTCAATGAAGCCACCAACGAGTCCCTACTACTCCTTAAAAGCCGTCTGGACAGAGAGAGTCTCTGTTATACTGATAATACCTGTTGCTCCAGCGTGGAAACTCAACTTGGCGCCAAACCATTTGATCCGCTGATGCCGAGCCCCAAGTCGGACTGCGCCCTTTCACTCATTCTTATGTTTGACCTGCAAAATAACCTTGATTTTAGCGCAGAACAGTGTCTTCTCTCCCTGACAATTCGTGTTCTCGACATAAATGACAATGCACCCAGCTGGCCCGTCCAGTACAGACGAGAAAAACCAGTTGGCCCACTGCGCTATGGAGGCAGCAGTTCCAGAGAAAGCAGTCAGTCGGGCAGTCAGGTGACTTCAGTTTTTGATCTTCCAATCAGGGAGCACACGAAGATCGGCACCAAATTTGAGCTTCCACTTGCTGTTGATCCTGACGCCTACCCAGAAAACACGACCACGCACTATGAAATTGAACATAACAGCCCGAACAGCGACCTATTTCGCCTCGAATGGACTGGGAAATCCCAGCATCTAAGCTTTCCGGAGGAGTCCGAGGCATCCATCGGAGATTTGCGTAGTGGCTCCGGTCCCATGAAGCTGTGGCTCGTCCTCAACAAGGAGATCGATCGCGATATACAGAGTTCTTACCAAATTATGATCGCGGCAGTGGATGGGGCTGTTACCAAACCGCAGACTGGATACCTCCTGCTAAATATTACTGTTGAGGACATCAACGACCACCCGCCGGAGCTTGAAAAACGTGTAGACTTTGTTTGGGTAGTAGAACACAGTCCCATCGGTAGTGTGATCTACAGGGTAAAGGCCACGGACAAGGACGAATCAGATCTGGACAGGCTGGCCTACAGTTTGTCAGCCACAGCCACGCCTACCGTGTGTGAACTCTTCAGTGTGGATCCACGAACTGGAGATGTACGGGTGCAGGGTGATCTCGACTACGAGCGACAAACATCTTACCAGGTTCCTGTCACGGTCAGCGATGGGCTCTGGTCTGATGAGGCCAAGATTACTATCGGGCTAATCAATATAAACGATCACCCTCCCAGTGTCAGTCTGCACTCGCATTTATCGGCGACAAAATTCCAGTCCTATGACATGCTTCAACGTGTTCCCGGCTCCCAGCTCACAATTGAGGTGCGGGAAAACGGACCGCCTGACCAGCTGATTGCCACCTTCTACGTGACCGATTTGGATGATGCCGCGGAGGAACGTTTCCTGCAGACTGACTCCCCCGTAAGGGAGGCCTTTCTACGAGCTAATGGAATCAGCCTTCAGCAGGTGATGGAACGCATCAGCCAACCACCCACCTGTAAGATAAACAGCGACCTGCTGACGATCCAGCAGTTGAGAGTAAACGCAAACAGTCGCTCCTTCAAGTCCCGCTTCCAGATCCGTCTGGCGAACAAGGCTCTGGATCGTGAGGTCTCCGCAAAGTATCTCATTCGCCTCGAGTGTTGGGACCAGACGAATCGCTTTGGTAATACAATTCTCGCACAATCTCAGTCCCGCATGGGAGGACTTCACCACCCCTTTTCCAGGTCCACCGGTGTCCTCTTCAGCCTTGTCGTTCTGGATGAGAACGATTCAGTGCCACAGTTTGTTGGACCTATGACCGGCACTATTGCTGAGGGTCTTCCGGTGGGCACTCTGATCATGCAGTTGACTGCCAAGGACGCGGATGATCCCTACACCCTGGGTGGTCAGGCTGGGCTGCGGTTCCGGCTGAGCGGGGAGCCTGTTGTGCGATACGCACAGTCCTATGGGCAGAACAACAATAGTTCCAATAAAGAAACGCCGGCCTTGTTACAACCGCCATCCACTTGGTTCACCCTAGACCCCCGGACAGGCGACCTCCGGTCTT